CCAAAAAATTTTGAAAATTTCATAATAAAATATTTAAAATTTCCAGCTTCAGCCGTTTCCAGCTTCAGCCGCAACACTTATTGTAAAAACTAGTAAATAATTTAAAAATTTAAATTAGCCTTCATCTTACTTAATACATCTTCCGATCATATGTAAAACAATTTAAACAGTAACAAAAATTATCTTCAGGTGGCATCCACAATTTTTTTATGATAAACTATTACTGTATTGTATAAAAATAGGGAAGATCTCTATGACAATACTGGTTTAACGTAAATTGTGAATGCCGCCTTATTAAAATTGAAAGTCGCATTGTTTAACCCAAGTATTTTGCTGGCATTGTATAGCCAACAATTAGAACAATAAGTAAAAAGTTTAACTTGATTAAAATTAAAATTCACATGTTTAACTTTCATGAAGTTTCGTATATCTTTATTGAAATTTCATCAAGGTTTCACATTTTGCAAGGGTTTCAACATTTCGTCAGGATTTCAACGCTTCATCAGGGGTTCATCTTTCATCTTTTTTAGGCTTAAGTTTCATCAGGATTTCAACGCTTCATCAGGGTTCGTCTTTCATCTTTTTTGGGCTTAAGTTTCATCATTTGCTATTTTTGAAAATAGGCTTCGTCTAATATCTATAGTGGCAGCCTAGAATATTATATTTCATATATTACATTGAAGTTTTTTGAGAAACAAAAATCTGCAGAAAATCTATCTTCAAATGTATTATTAGTATTAAAACTTTCATTTAAAGAATTCTTATTGAAAAAAATTTTTCTCTTTATTAGTAATTATTAAAAGGATTATTTTCGTCGAAAAAATTTTCTTTGAAAAAGCTATTAACTGACGGCGTAGATTTCTCGTCAGAACTAATATCATTCGAAGGTATCATCGTTTTATTGATGGGTAATCTATATTTTTAACCACGATTTTTTTTTAAAAAAACTCACTGTTATTTTTATTGCTTTCGTTATTTAATAACAATATCGATATTGGGCTTTGGGCTTTTAATTTATGACATCACAGACTCGACCTATTAAAATTATTCGGAATTGGTCCTGATATTAGCCCGAAGTCTAGTTTTAATGTCACATTTGCCTAAATTTTACCATACACACGTTTTTATTAATTTAGTATATTATACACCACTACTATTCGTATTACATAAATTTATAAGTTGCAAATTCTTATTACATAAATTCCGTGTTCTTGATGCAAACTTTAAAAGAACATAAAATCTGAATCACGAGTTTAAAACAGAGATAAAGAAACAATTGTTACTAATGATGCATCTGAACAGATAAACTTACAATGTCAGTTATTTACTGATATTCTGATGCATGTTAAGAGACAAATTTTTTATAAATCTGAGCGAAATGAAGTGGCGTGACAGATGCTTATATACGTAAAATAAAAGTAATATTATTTTATTAATAATGATTAACTTATTGATTAATTTGATGTTTTACTTGATTTCTCTTATAGATTTTTTTTTTTAAAATTATAGACTTTACAAATAATGGTCTAAAACATTCGATGGATAAACATTTGTATCAAACTATTAATATGTATATTTTTTGGATATACCAAATACCTGGACAATATTCGTGACAGGTCTGGACAATAAAGCTTTCCAACTCACTCTGGACAAAAAACCTTATGTGATAGAGTAATGATAAAGAATTCTTATAAGTAATATAGTAATTCATCACAAGTGTGAGTGTCGTTCATTATTTAAAGTACTTTTTGATAATGTGATGCTTTGCTAATGTTTTATTAATAAAAAAATCATCATAAAAGCTATTCTTAGCTTTGAAAGAATGTTACTATTCACTAAAAAAAAAAAAAGAATCAAAAAAAATCAAAAATTTAAAAGACTTTATTTAGAAGCCAATCATGCGTATTACTGGATCTTAATATGCCGATTTAAGAAATACGTAAAGAATAAAAAACAATTTAATGCAAACGAAAATTCGCTTCGTGGAAGATCTCAACAATCACAAAGTGTAGTATTGATAATAAAAAATAAATTTTGTATAAAAATTAAGACATTAGGGCTCAGCTTGGCTCGGCTCGGAGCTGAAAAGTAAATAGTAATATGTCAATTAAACTAGTGAAAACAATTGACGTTCGCTATGTTCATCTGCTATGTTCATCCGCACATAAGTTTTATTTTTGTAAACAAAAAAATTTAAATGTGCATTATATTTAGGGAACGCCTATTTCCACCATGAAAATTGGATTAAATATAGCATAGGTGACAACTTAATAAATAATCAATTGATTTAAAGTAGACGTCACCTATACTATATTTTATCTGAAAGGTGCTATGCTTTTCACATGACTTTTAGCTACATAAGCATGACAAACATATTATCATGATAAATTACATCAAATAGTCAAATACGTAGTAAATTTTCATGGTGGTTCCCTAAAACATGTTAACTTCAAATTGAAAAATGATATTTGTCAATTAATAATTGACATAAATTGAGAAGTTACGCATAACATTTCCACAATTTTACATAATTTTCCATGTCAATATGCTCATCATGTTTATGTAGCTGAAAGTCATATGAAAAGCATGGCAGCATGGTAGAAATAGGCGTTCCCTATATTTATTATTTTATAATAAAAACATGTAATTTAATATTTACCAGCACCAATAGTATAAGTTGAATTTTAGATAAAAGAATAAATTTATTAATTAGATATTTAGATATAATAAAAATTTGACAATAAGTGAAATTGTAACTTTGTTAAATGATATAATGTCTTTAAGTAAAGATATAATTTTAAGAGGAATAAGACTAGATAGTGTTGATAAAAGAGATAAGAAATTAGATAAGTTATAGACTTGCATATATTAGAGATTTAGAATTAGATAATATAAATTAGAAATAAAGATACATAAATAATATATAGAAACAAAAATATATTTTAAACCTGAATGGGTAATTAGATATCTATATATGGGAGCTTGTTAATAGAAAAAGGAAAAAAGTTTTTAGTAATTTTTTTAAAATTTTAAATTAAAATATCTCATTAACTACTAAATTAAAATATCTCATTAACTACTAAATTAAAATATCTCATTAACTACTAAATTAAATTTAACAAAAAATTTTATAATTTTATAGAATTAAAATAAAAAAAAATTTATTAAATTTAGTTTAATAGTTGTTGCGATATTTTAGTTTAAAGTTTAAAAAACTTTTACTTAGAATAAATTTCCCCTTTCTATTGACTAGCTCCCATATATTAGTGATTATTTTATTATTTTGCAAGATCAAAATTAGAAATATGAATAAATCCAGCGTTACCACTAATTGAAAGCACTTTCCGATCACCAGAGTTTAATATAATTATAAAAGTTCAACCTCTTATGTAAAGTAATGGTAATAAATAAATTTCATTTCGTCACTTTGCAACATAATTTCCTCCAATTATATTATAGATTTTGTTTATTATAATAATCATCTATGGTACTCATCATAATGAACCTGGATATAATGAGCTTCAAAACTTTATATTTTATATCGATATGGAAATGTGATGACTCTCAAGAAAAAAAGCAGTAATTTGGTGATTTTGTTATGTAAAATAAATTTTTTAGATCCATTCGTTTTTATAATATGTAAAACTTAAGAATGTAATGTACAATAATTTATTTAGGATTAGTGATACTTTCGTTTCTTGAGAAATCGAAACTAATAAGTAAATCCTTTCTAAAAAAATGAAAAAAAAAATTCAGAAAGGTGAAGAAAAAGCAAATTCTAAAATTCATATTACATCCTCGATTGATAGTAATACTACGCTTCATTTTTAAATTTTATATGCCAATTGAAAAATGAACAAAAGTCAATTTTCGACGTATTTTTGTATTTAATCAAATACTCGAAACTTATAATAAAACTAAAGAGAAAATATGCAAAACGTAAAAATCATTAATATATTAAAAAATTCCGACTTATAGTGTAAATGGGCACCAAACGAACTATCCATGAACTTCCAACCTATAACATCTACAACATTTATGAATGTCTTAATCTATATATTTAAGATAAGATTCAAGATAAGCGGCCAATTCATAACTTATAATGCTGGCCAACCCATAATATTCAAAAATAGCAAAAATAGGTAATTCTTCCATTTTTTTGATTTTTAATAAAAAGTATCGATGCAAATGATCAAACTAAGAATCTCAACATAGATGCATTTTACGTATTTAGTACTTAACCATAAGTTTAATTGCAAAACGGCTTATATCAGATATTACTTTCTAATCTACGTATGAATACCTTATAAAAATACGCTACGTATTTAAATTATCGCATCCTAATTGCTTGTATATTAATAGTTAATTTTTTGTTATTACTTATTATATATTACTGTACTAACTCTACAACCTTCATATTAAACTTTAGGACTAATGCTCTAATATATAAAGTTCCTGTCTTATAAAACGCTGCCATTTTATTACTAGCATTGATTATATGAACTAAATATGATGGTACGTCTTTAATAAAGGTTACGCTGATTAAAAATAGAATAAATACTATTACACGAAATTTATTATAGTTATTGCTTGGGTATGTAGTGAAAAACTACATTATTGCACGTGTCTGACGTACAATCCCGTGCAATAACCAAATGAAAGGGTTGTTATGCAATAAATCTGCTGGGTAATTTTTAAAATTTATGTTGAGAATTAAAAAATTAATTTTGCATGATTTTAATCAACTGATTAGTTAAATTGTAATTCCCATAAACACATAATTATCACTTCTTTAATTTATGCCTGACCGATTAAAACCGGTTCAAATGTATGAAAAATAAAACCAGTTCCAATCTTTACCTACTAATTACGTGAACAATTTTCAAGAAAAAAACGATTTTTATTAAAGATTTTATAAACCTCGTCATATCGAAGACACATAGCTGTTGTTGCTTGAAGTTGTTATCCCAAACAATTATAAATGGAAATGTATACATTATGTACTTGAAAACCCCAAGTTTTTCTTATTTACAAGACGTTGCCGGATAACAGCCACTGTGGTGTACACACTTTGGAGCGCAATGACTCAATAACATTATTGAATGTAACGTACATACTAATGCAGTATATCTATGGTGTATTTAGATATGACATAACGCCACATTTTTTAGAAACATTAGAATTTTATTCCAAACACACCAATAATAAGTTATATTGGAGCGCCATAACCAAATAAAATTATTGAGTGTAACGAAACATACTAATGTAGTAGATTTACGGTGGATTTAGTTATGACATAACGGCACCTTTTTTAGATGCATAAAGATTTTATTCAAAGCACACCAACAATAAGTTATATTTAGAACGATTGGAATGATTA